AATTGCTCATATCTCAAAGCAGTTTTCCCCATATGATGCCATTCATTCGCTCTAGCACTTTGGGTTTTGTTAAAGTTTTTTAATATTAAAAAAAAATTTACTATTTGTTTTTGCTGTCATTCATGATATTGCAAAATGAGTTAGAGAAGTTTCATTGAACAAATACCATGCTCCAATTATTGCAACTTTTCTGGAGTGATATTGATCCACAAACTTTTAGAGTTCAGAAATCTGCTTATGAATTATTGTAAGGCCCTTAGCTATAGTTTTAGCCATTATGAACTCCGCCTGTTTAAACACAGTGCATATCTGTGATGTGTTACGCTTGTACATTCTCATATTTTACTCGTACAATAATTTCACACTTTAATTCAAGAGACTTGGCCCTTTGGACACGTGAATATAAAAGTACATAATATTTTGTATGAAAAAAAATGGAACTCAACATATATAACTATACAATTATTATAATGGTATTATGGAAAATAGTTATGTATATAAAATATAAACTCCATTTGTATAAAAATATAAACAATTTATTGATTATAAAATTTCATGATATGAAAAATGACAAGTGATTTTGTTTTCTCTCCAATCTCCAGCTTGCTCGATTTCCCACAGTATAATGTATAGTTAAAATTTCAAAAATTATAATAATTGATATTACAATTTATATGTAATTGAAATTACTAACTATAACATAATGAACTGTAATAAAACAGCAAAGTTTTTCTATAGTAGGATAATCATTGTTACAAATAATGAAATTTTTCGTATGTCGAAGCAACAAATCGCTCAAGTGGCGACTCGTATCTTAAAACACTCGTATATTAAGTCGTAAGTCAGGGTACCACTTTGGTATATGCACTTACTATTAAAACGTTTGAATTGAATATTTCATATTACTTTTTTTTTGCTGATTTTGACTTCTTTTTATAATATAATTTCAAATCAAAGGTATCATCCAAGAAAATTTGTGCTTAACGAACAAGATGACACACTAAGATACTACATAAAAGAACATAAAGATCCCAAAGCAATTTTACGCATATCAGAAATCAACGTAGCGCTAGCCCCTCAAAAATTCAATCATAATAATTCTATGCAAATATCGTTCATGAAAGATGAAACAACTCGCCACATATATGTTTACCACAACGATTCAGAAGTTTTGATTAACTGGTAAATATGATTTATCAATAAGAATTAATCAATTGATAAATATGTAAATCATAATTAATTGAGATAATTAATTTCAAGGTACACAGCTATAAGATGTGCAAAGTTGCATAGATTAGAGATTGCTTTTCCAAGTATGAGGGAGAACGATCTGCTTGAACATTTAACTGATGATTTCCTTAAAGAAGGCTGGTTATGGAAAACTGGCCCTAAAGTATCTGATTCATATAAAAAGCGATGGTTTACTTTAGATGGTCGAAAACTTATGTATCATGATGATATGTTTGATGCTCATCCTAAAGGCGAAATTTTTATTGGTTTGTGAAAAATATTTTTGTATGTACATCTATTAACCCTTACCGCTCGGCACTGATTCAAAAACAATCACCAGCGACTCGTGGTCTGACGAAAACGTATCTGCGCTGTAAACTTGATATTATTGTATATGTATGCAATTTGATTTATATGAATTTGTGGGCATTGAAGAACGTACATGTACAATAATATCTAAATTTATTTTAAAGCAACTTCCAATAGACAAAGCGGGTTGATTTCAGTGTCGTTATAATTACTTAGTGTTGTGATAGTTTTTTCTCATTCCACAGAAAAGTGTAATACATATATCGTTTTATATATATCTGTCTTTTGTGATTAAAATTTTGCTTTACAAGTTTGTCAATCGTTTTACCATATTTACAAGAAAAAATTATATAATAAAACTAGTGGTGTTTGGCATCGTGCCTTAAGGCAAGTTGCAGAAGCTTCCAGTGCCATTTTTTTTTAAAGATTAATTTTTTAAAAAATTACTGCTTTAGCTGCACTGTTTTAGCTGCATAGAGATAAAATATCGAAGCGCGTAAGCGCCGCCCATAGAAATAGAAAGAAAATTGATAATCATTATTAAAATCTCCATAAAATATCTGATAATTTGATGTGCATATGTCTAATGATCATTTTTGGCTGCCGTAGTGTAAGTTATTGTAGTCGCCCAAAAATCGGAATTGAAAATTTTTACACTTTTCGACATTTTGAAGGTTTCTGAACATTTTGGCATAAATGAGAAAAAATGGATGTGTGTGTGTTTTTTTTTGTATAGTGAAGGAAATGCCTTTATGCATCCCAGACTGGAAAAGGGAGGTTTTAGTCGGTATTATACCAGGGCGGTATTTAGTCCGACATACCCAGACTGGTGTGTGTGTGTGTGTGTTGTTGTAGTATGTATGGATACAATTTTTCGGTCACGTTTTCGGGCGCACGGATCAACCTATTTGAATGGTTCAAAAAACATTCGATTCCTATTGATAGGGAGATGTGCTGATTAGTTTTTGACAAAGGCAGGTCCAACAGTTACGGAAATAAAGAGCAAGGAGTGCAGAAAATAGAAATCGAGTTTTTGAGAGAACGGAGTATCCGATTTGAAAGATCTAAAAACATTCAATTAGTAGGCCCAGCCATTTCGAAGATAACATAGCTAAATGTTAAAAAAATGGCAGATTCAAAGAACTTTTTGCTGTTCTAACAAAATAATTGATTTTGGAAAAAAAATTGTTTCAAAATGATTTGAAAGATCTAAAAAACATTCAATTAGTAGGCCCAGCCATTTCGAAGATAACATAGCTAAATGTTAAAAAATGGCAGATTCAAAGAACTTTTGCTTGTTTTAAAAAATAATTGATTTTGGAAAAAAAATTTTTTCAAAATGATTTGAAAGATCTAAAAAACATTCAATTAGTAGGCCCAGCCATTTCGAAGATAACATAGCTAAATGTTAAAAAAATGCAGATTCAAAGACTTTTGCTTGTTTTAACAAAATAATTGATTTTGGAAAAAAAAATTGTTTCAAATAATTTTTTTTTTTTTAAAAAATTTTTTTTGTTTATCGAAAATAAATCAGATTTTATTTTTAATTCTGATTAAAGTTCTAATAACAAATAATTTCAACTTTGCAATTCAGTTTATATAGTTCTTATAATATTAGACAATGTTACAATATTTATATTTATAATAATCTATTTGAAAACATTCGGTATTCCTCAAACATTTCGTTACGGTACCAGCAATTTGCCTTAAGGCACGATGCCATACACCCCACTAGTTTTTTTTACTTTTTTCACTGGATCTCCGAAACCACTGGCCCTGTTATCCCAGAAATTTAATCAATTCTTGATCTTGTCAATAAAAGTAAAAGTTTTTTGAATTATTGAAATCGGACGCTCCGTTCTCTTAACAACTGAGTTACCGTTTTTGACACTTTTTCCCTTTATCTTCGGGACGGCTAGAGCTGCCTTTGGCACGTCTCCTTATTAGTACGAATCGAATGCTTTTTGTATTATTCAAATCGGTTGATCAGTGTTCCCGAAATCGTCGCCGAAAATTTGTATCCGCACACACACACATATCCATTTTTTCTAAGGTATGCCAAAATGTTTAAAACCTTTTAAAGGTAAAGATATAAAAATTTGCATTTTCGATTTTTTGCGATTTCTATAACTTACCCTACGGGAAGTTAAAAAGATTAAAAAATACTAGAATAATAAATAATAGTAAACTTTGAAAAGAGGGCCTCGGTCTTATCACTGCATAAGTTTATTATAAGAATGAGCAACCTTTCTAAATCACAGGTCTCATTTAATTTTTAAAATTAGATCATTTATTAATGACAAAGCTTGATACTACTAGACATTATTTGATAATTAAAAAAAAAAAAAGAAATCATAAGAAAAGAATAAATTATAATTAATTTACTGATGGGAGAAAGTTGTTAAAATAGATAAAATTCTATTTAGAAATGCTTGGTGGATTGCAGAAAAATATTTAAAGGGCCTCATGAAGCCCGCTGGTTGCTCATTCTTGATCTATTCTATTCGACACTTTACATTTATACGAGTCATTGTATATACAAACTGCCGAGTGACAAAGAGTCAGCCTAGAGATAAGCTAGACTTATGTTGTCTCCTCAGGAGGACAGCCGAGTGGAAAGGGTTAATGAACAGCTGATATGACAGAGTTGATACCTATACACTAGATAACCTTTGCTTTTGGTGTAAGCACTTATTATTGTTTTAAAACATGTTGCATATAAGTGAATTTAAAAATTTCCTTTTAGGCTCTACTTAAAAATTTAACTAAAGATTTTACAACAGGTAACATGTTACAAGGCTATAGTGTAAGAATAGGTTCGAGTGATGGGGTTCAAGAGCAAGACTTCACTTTCACTTTAAGAACTCCTGATAGAACATACAATTTATCATCCACAAGTGAAGCCGATAGAGATGAATGGATATCACAATTATCTCATATTATCGAAAAGCCCATGGGTAATCGGGATTTTGCTCGTAAGATTTTCAAGAGTAAATCTATTAAAAAAGACATTTTTCAAAGAATTAATACAAGATTTGTTTTTTAGTTGCTGGTAAATTCGTTGGTAGAAGTCGTTTCTTGTAATCTGAATAGTGTATTTTACCCAACAAGTCATGTGAGAAAAATGAGAGATTATTTAAATAGATTGTCATTAATATGATTTCATATGTCAATAGTATATATATATATATATAATATAATTATTTACTTATTAGGCATATTTATAATCTAAATTGCCATAATCACATCCCACTGCCAGTAGGTTGGAATATAATCTGAAGAAATTTGTATAATGCAAACAAATTATTTAAAAAACTATATCAATAATATTATTGAGAGTATTTTAAAGAAATAGATATTTATCAAAATAATATTTATTATATACAAAATAGATAAAAATTAATGGTTACCTTAAACCCTTCTTAAATTTTGAAATCTTGAGTTTAAACTTATCTGGTTTATTAATTTGTAATTTCTTTAATTTTAGATGGAGATTTTTCACCAGGGTTTGTTAGAAATGATAAAGTTTTAAGTAGCTGAAGTCGCCTTACTAATACAGATTTATAATGATTATTGCTTATTCTCCATTGTTTTAATGTGATTTCAATTAGCCGTAGAATTTCTCTTTGAAGCTCAAACCAACAAGTCATATGCTGATCGGACATCTGAAAGAGAAGACGTTTTATTCAAACAACTTTTACCAATGAAATTTTTGTACAACTATAGATCGTACAGAAGATCATAATGACTTGTAAAAATGTGAATATGAATAAATATGGTTAACTTTGCCAGAAATATCCGGTTGACAACTAAGTAAATGTGGATATTTGTTAGAATCATCATTCCAAAACTTTTAGTTTTTATTAGCAAAAAAAAAATTAATCAAATACAATTTGACATCATCATAATCATTGAATTGTTTACCATTCATGGAGTTTTGTGAAGATCAGAACAAAAAGAAATCCGAAGTTCCAAGGTCAAAACTATATGGTGAATGTGGCAAAACATTAGACATAAAAATCGATCGTCTTACATGCTTTTTTACCTTTGCAAAAATAAAAAAGCAAAATATGACAAATTTTCGATTTGATTTTCCATCTTTCACGTACACGAAATAAAAGCTGCGCGATCGATCAAAAAACTATTTTACATATTGATGGCTAATTGCCTTAGAATTACGAATTCCAACCTACTTAGTTGCCAACCTAATATATTATATTTTGTGTGCGTGTTTATACATACCTTATATGTCCCAATACAAACTTTTATCATAACCTCCAGTCTTACAACATTGTTTAGATTAGACAATATAAAGCTTAAAACATTTGAAGCAGTTATATCCAAAGAATGGGGAAATGTCAAACTTTCTGATTTACTAAAAAAATTATAATAAATTAATATATTAATTAGACCTATAAGCAAATAAATAAAATATAATTATGTTACTGAGAATCTTATTTTTATATATGCGATTATATTTTTATAAATATATATATATATATAAACAGATAAATTTTAAATGTATTTATCATTTCTATACCTTTCCGGAAATATTGTGATCGTCGGTAAATCATCCATGGTGAGTTGCCATGGTACATCATTGTAATCCATATCAATTCTCACAAACGATATCTTAGTAATCGATTTCAGTAAATGACTTACATATAAAAAAATATGCCATGCATACTGGCAAAATCCACAAAATGGGCTGTAGTATAACACCACTACTGTCTAAAAATATGATCAAAATTGTTGAATTAAGTGAAAACGAAGTGATATATGGGAGTGAATCAAAAAGTCCTCAATATTATTTATTAAATTAAATTTATTGATATACAGGAGTACCCTGACATACGAGTGACCTGACATATGGGGATTAGTTATCTTCGAATGATGAGCAAAACTCGAGATACGAGCTTTGAGCGAGTAAGAGTTGTTTAGAAAAATATTAATGTCAAAATGAAAATATGAATAATTTCGTCAGTTGTAGCAATGATTTTCTATTTCCATGTAAAGATTATTGTGTTATTTAGTATAATAATAATATAATAACATAATATTGAAGCTAATATTATAGTCAATTATTTTATAATTTAAAATTTATTTTATAGTTTAATTCCAATATATATTAGTATTAATTATGTAGTAATGATATAACCACGCAAATATATGGTGAATTATTTTAACATCTGAAATGTTGATTATATGTTAATAGTGATTGTATAGTTATATATGTTGAATTCAATTTTGTATTGATTTTAATGCATTAACAAAATACTAAATACTATTATATCCTTAGATCTAAAAAAATGTACTTGTCTCTTGAATTAAGCATAAATCTATTGAAAAATATGAGAAAGGCAAAGAGCATAATACATCATAGAAATGTACTGTGTTTAATGGATTTTAAGGAGTTGATAGGGGCCCCAGTGAAGGCCCTTACAATAATTCATAAGCAGCTTCTTGAACTTTATAAGTTTGTGTATATCAAACCAAAAAAAGCAACAGTTCATGCATGAGAGTAGTTCAATGAAATATGCCTTAAATATCATCAAAACAATATTAAATAGTAAATTTATTTGCAATATTCAAATAAATTAACAAAACCATAGTGCAGGAACGAGATAATGGCATTTCAATATATTTATATGCAAAAAATGGCATCGAGATACGAGCGATTCGACACACGAGCGTGGTTACAGAAAGAATTACTTGTATGCCAGGGTACTGTAGCTTAAACTGTTTTAATTCAATTAATTAAATTTGAACTTGACAGAAAAGTTTCAAAACTATTTATTTTACTTATATCATATTTCAAATATCATGGTTTAAGAGATAAACTTACCTTATTCTGATTCATCACTTGGGGAATGAATGTTTCGGAGCTCAGTTCAGCAACAGATACTATTCCCAAATTTCTATCATATTGCTTCATACTTTGGTATACATTTTTCTCAGTACTATATTTATGAGTATACTGACTAGTCTTTGAATTGTCTCGGAATGATCGATTCTCAACTTTATTACTATGTTCCCAAATAAATTTCTTAACACTTGATGGGGTGACCTTTTCTTTTAAGATGCTTTGATATTCCATCTGTAAAGATCATAACTTTGTTTGTATAATGCCTTACTCGTATTGTTGTGGTTAATAATTATAGTATAACTGCAATAGATATTAATATGCTAAACTAAGAATTTAAATAACTTGAAGTACAATGAAGGACCATGTAAATGGCAACTAAAATACCAATGTTAAGTTAATCAGATTTTACTTGATTCGAATCAACTTGTATCAAGCCGCGAAATATTTACTGCGATAAAATATGTATGAACACAAATTTTCATAAATATAGAATATAAAAAATAATAATAATAAATATAAAAAATAAATCATGAATTAAATCATGCGAGCCACCCGACATCAATACGCTTAAATGTATCACCCGACTCCAATCGGCTTTATATGAATTTAACCGCATTCAACAATATCATCCGACTTGAAGTCGGAATGATTCGGTTTGAGCGATAAGACTTCAATCGACTTCATATGACTCAAACCAAATCATTGCGACTTCAATAGACTTCATATGACTCAAACAGAATCATTCCGATCATTCATGCGGTTTGAGAGATAGGACTTCAATCGACTTCATTTGACTCAAACCGAATCAATCCGACTTCAAGCGGTTTGAGCGATATGACTCCAAGCGACATGAGTTCGAAACAGATACAATGCGTCGTCGTTCTTACGTGTTTATTTATTTTACGGAGCGCTGAGAGCGATTTTGTCCGTGAAATATCAATCCTAAATTTTGATAATAATTAAGTGTTTTAGATTTTAAATTGTTTGGCACAATTGTTTGGTAATCTATTATTGTAAATTAATTTAAAAATATGTTTTAACCGCCTTCAAAATTAAATCATTTTTAATAATTTTCAGAATATACTTTTTGATTTTTTGCAATTTACGTTTATGTTAATTTCTACCTTGTCGGTTATATTAGTTAAACTAACAATTTTGATTATAAATTTGGATCACATTTTACTAACTAAATACATCCATGATTTTTTTTGTTCATATATATATACTTGATTCGAATCATGATTTGAATCAGGTTTTTTTCTGATTCTTATATATAGTTATCAATAAATTGAAAATGAAATTTAAAAAAATAGAAAAATGTTTCTAAATATTTTAAATATGATAATTTCTTTTGTTTTTCATGATCATACCTCATTATCAATTATAAGAACAACAGTTTTATTCTCCAAGTCCAGGAGTTGTACTCCAATTTTCTCAGCAATATAATGGTACATTTCTGAATCCAATGCCAGCAAGGATAAAACTTCTATTGTTCTGACAAGCAAGCCCAGATATATTTGGAGCATCTGAAAATGAAGATGAGTTTATTATGTGTCGATGACAAACACCATATTTTATTACTTTATCTTGCAGTAAATTAATATTGACCTTTATTATAATTTGTCTCAAAGAAAATGGGTTTACTCTGCAAATCAGCTTCCAGTAACAGCAGACACTCATTTGTTTCTTTAATTTTGTGCAAGTTTTCCGCACTATAATAATCATCTACCTTGCTAGAGTAAAAATTTGTATTAATATTTTATTCTATATATTTGCAAGCACACATACATAATCAACCCGATTCAACCATAAGTAAATAGCAACTTATTCCATGGTACATGAAGATTACCTAAAATTATTGATAATTTTTTTCTCAGCATCATTTTTATTGCATCTATCATAAATATGCTCGCCATGTTTCTCATTTTCGTATTTTTCAATAAAACAATGTTTATCCAATACAGAACATACATTGTTATTTGGATCTTTAGATGTATTGAACCATTTGCTAACAGTGATGGAAACTTCTATGTTTTCTACTACATTTTTTTTCGCATCTGATTATTTGATTTTGCAAGCAATTCTTCACAGAATTTTACTTTTTCATAGTACCTCTCTTGATTCTCTATAGAAAAAATCAATGCCTATAAGCTGAGTTTAATATTAATATATATTCGAATTTCTTTTTTAATCTTACTTGCTCTCGTTAATTGAATATATTTTGATAACTGAGCAACCAAGGGTCATTGTTACAATTATAATATTCCAGACCAATATGCTTCAGCTAAAAATAACATATATATTTATATATATATATATATATATATATATAATTAAATAAATTTCTTATTATTTATTTATTCAACTCAAATAGACAATAGATCGAATATGAATGTCAATATAGCTAAAGTCTGTCTAAGATTTTTATGCTCTGACTTAAACCCATGAAGTAAATGGCACTTACCATGTCATAAGCATCATTAAACTCTCTAAATGCATTTCTTGGAGTAAATAACAATAATGCAGATCCTTCCATTAAATATGGACTAAGAGTACTTGACTTAACGCCAGGAAAATTTATCCACATTGATACTTGATGAAGATTTGATGATATCCATGTGAAAAGATTATTTGTATTAGGCACTTTATCAGATTCATAGATCTAAGAAAAATTAGATGATATATTTAAATGAAGTAAAAAATTTTTTAATTGGAAGAAATAATTACCAATGTTTCGTTCCACAAATAAATTCTATATGAGGGAAGACTATTTACACCAAAACTATCTCGAGAATGACCTGTAACCACTGCAAATCCGATTTCATTATAAGGTTCATGATCTATCCATTTCAATGCAGTCTTATATAAAATATCATAACTTGTTGGAAAATATTGAAAGTCAACATACCCAACAATAACAGCCTTAAAGAAAATTAAACTTAACATATATAAATAATAAAACATAACATTTAAAATATTGATATTATTTACATCATAACGTGCTAATAAATCAACAATATCATCTGGCTTAGTAATCCTGTGCAGAGGGTTAATTGCAGTGTTTAAAAATCTGGTCATATGCGATTTGCTTATTGGACCTCTGTATTGTATACTACCACCATAACAATTAACTAATAAAAAAATTGGCCAAGACTGCACCTTGTAAAAAACAATTTCATAAAATATGTCTTAATATTGTTGTTAATAAATGACACACCTTTGTTGTATGCTTATCTCTACATTCACCACCTGGTGCCCAACAATTTATGGCCAAAAAGTTTATCTGTATGACAAATTTTGTAATGTTAATCGAATTCCCCAAAATAATTTATATCCATTGTACAAAAAATATATACCCGATCTTTAAAAATATCAGCCACTTCATTAACTACCTTTGCAGCATATTGACTTTTAGCATCCCATGGAGCATAGTACATGAAAAACGAATATTCATAATGTCCAATACTATAGAACGCTCCTTCCAATTGACCCCCATACCAGTCTTGCACATTTGAATTTATGGAGAACAATGGCCCTGAGTATGGTGCTGGAGAAATAACTGGAATTCTTTCAACAATTTTCAATATTAATAGCGCTAAGTAGAAGATGAATATAATAATACTCCAATGTAAAAAGTCTGCCACTCACGATCTTTCTATTGCTGAAAAAGCTACTCTAACAATTATCAGCAAAGACAGAAATATTTCTTTTCTATAATTATTCATGAGAAGCAGATAACGATTATTAATTTTTGAATGATCCTCGTTCATTGCCACATTGTTCGAATTATTTTTCTCTCCCGTACCGACATTGATTACCGATCTGTCAATGGCTCCTGTCATATGTGAAAGTATTACACGTCATAACCTATAGAAAATTTAAACGTCAAACACTAGATATGGTTGGTAGTTGTTTGAGTTGGCAACACTTGAACAAACATTTACTTACGAAATTTAAACTTTATTTACGTTAATGTAATATTGCATACAGTGTTTGAAATGGATGTAATAATTAATTTGTATTTTGCAGGATTTACGGTTAAATGATTGAGTTTGTGGCAACTGCATGTGAGTCTGATCATATATTAAAGAAGAGTATGTATATGAGCATAAAATGTTGAAACCTTTTGTATAGTTTTATTTTCTCGAATATGATGATGAGAATAATGTGTATTTTGCGCACTTTTCATTAAAACCATAAAGTCTACTTATTTAGACTTAATTATTAAATACTTAAGTCTTAGTCTTATATTAATATAATCTTACCTCTCAGAAAAATTTAAAATGTAGTAATTAAAATCTTGTTTTTGATGTCCAAAATGGCAGTAAAATGTGATGTCATAATATTATGTTAAAATTCAATTATGATTTTGCAACCGACCACTAAGCACAATTCTTAAATAACATGAAAACAATTATAGATGGTAGAGTCTTGGATGTGTATTATTACTATTATATGTATATATATATATATATATATATATATATATATATATATATATATATATAATGTATATACAAAAACATACTTTACAACTCAAAAATATAGTGTAACTTACCATAAAAACTATTTTGAAATGAAAACATACGCATTCCCACTACGTTTTGCTACAGGAACAAATTAAGTTTCTTCGAAATTTAATATTTACTTATTTAATTTATTTCCGAACAACAACATTCACTCATTGAATAAACCAAATTTGAATTGCAGTTTCTTCAAAATTTAATGTTTACTTATTTAATTTACTTAACATTGACATCACTCTCTGAATAAACCAAATAAATTCAATAATTTATTTAATCAAATCGTTTTTGAATGAATAAAAGATATTAAGTGATCTTTCAACTTTCAGCATGTAAAAATTTCACAACATTCTAATTGAAATTAAAAGTGAATACAACATGTATTACATC